ATTCACCGAGGCGGTGCTGAATTATGGATATGACGGATCATTTTTGCAGGTATAAATATTATGGGGACGTGATGATGCGTCTCAAGGTGCCCTAGTGAAACTGCGCAAGAGAGAATCAGAAAGAAACCGCTGGAGGACGCGTTTGTGTGCGCAGCTCACAAGAGACGCGCGTCGCAGTCAGATAGATAATTGTCGCAGCAATATCTTCGCAAATTGAGAACCCGGGTCGTCATCCTTCACGAGAAGCGGCCGAGTAGGCGCTCGGTGATGAATGCCGCGGAGTCGATAGCACTCCCGCAGGCGCCTTCTTGACCGCAGACTGTCATAGAATGTCCTCAAAGTGTCTATCGGGAAATTCTTATTTACATTTATGGACGAAAAGGGAAGGGATTCTGCAGGGACCGACTTCGTCCGTAGCTGTTCCAGAGCGCAGTTCCTGCCTTCATATGTCCCCAAACGGAAATTCGAGTTCAACCCAGGTCAGTCAGCCCTCGGTAAAGAGTGAGAACCTTCTCTTCACAGGGCTCCGACTGGGAGTCAGAGCAAAAGGCGAGCTTCGATCAGCCAATGAGTACCGTGTATTTTCGGTTCGCGTGTAGAGTCATTGAAGTCAACGTCCTAGCATCCTGTTTGGGAAATCTTCATACTACAATACTCTCTTCTTCAGAAAGGCTCGTTCCTTCTGGCGCCCACCCATTCCGGGATTTTCACGCCGTTCAAAAATTCCGGCACTAGTACAGCGAGCCCGTCTCGGGTATTCGGATACACCAGAAAGTCATACTTGAGACTTGTAAACTAAATTATATCACCTGAAAATATGGGTTTGGACCTTGGAAAGAGACAAGGACTGGGGAGTTTCGTTTGGGGGGAAGTAGGACTTGGGCGTGAGGCATGCAAACATTACCAAGCCTCCACCTCTAAAGTAAGCCACTCCACTAGAGGCTGTGGGACCAAAACTAGTTTTGGTAGTATATGAAGCTCAAGTGGGGTAGTGGTAACCTGGATCGTTGCCATTGAGCAATACTCGATCCGCCAGGAGTTCGATTCTCCTCTTGAGCAACTTCTTTTGCTCATACGTACTTTTTTTTTGCAACTGCCCCCATAGCATCGAACAATCACTCAGCTCCACGCAGCTCAAGCAGACATTTTGTGATCCATTCACCATCTTTTCCCTAGCGTGGCCGCGTGGACCGAGAAGGCGGCCAAGGAATAAAATATGGACTTGACCCAGGCCCACCTAGGAACCCTAAGAAACCAAGCCGAGGGTGATTAACCCTCTCCCAATGTCCAAGGACTGGCCCAATGCAATCTAGGATCACGACGGCACAGTATGGGGGTTCAACCGATCGCTTCGTTGTATATTCTTCACTCTCAAAACGGGTGCGTCCACCAAGTTCGGCAGCAACAGCGTAGCACCTAAGGAGTGGGGAGACCAACGCCATGAGTCTTAGTGGTTTGCTATTGCGGTTTCTCGGATCCGCACCTCTACGAGTTTTGATAGTATTGCCAACCGACCCAGTTCGCAATCACGAATG